GTGATTTATAAATAAATTTGGGAATAATTGAAATTAATTGCAAAATCCATTGACAGTCACCCATGAAATAAAAATAATTGTTTGTACAGAAAGTAAGGACTTATGCATCAAATTGTCTTTAAATTAAGTGGTGGCAGAAAAATTGTTGGACTTTTAACAAAAAATGAGGAAAAGAAAGTCCTGTGCAAATGAAAACCCAGATCAAATGGCAGCCAGGAGAGCTTCCAATGCTGAAAATATGCAAAGATTTAGGTACGCTCGAACTCCTGAACAAGCTGAAGACACTCTACAGAACCTAGCTTAAATGCCACCCGATAATGTGGCTTTTAAGCTAGTAATATGTATATCCCAAAATGTGCACATACAAAGAGGCTTACAGCTATATCATGTTCAAACGCCAGTTCTTGTACAAATGCAGAAGTTAAGCAATGACAACCCTGGTCAGTACCTAGATGGGTGTCCACTTGGGAATACTAGGTACTATAAACTTGGATGTGCAGGTGGTATAATGGTTTGGAATTGGAAACCAGAGAGCAGACTTCCAATTACAGTCAGGTTTGTTATAATCACTTATGTGCAAATAGCCTTGGAAAAGGTATTAATCCACCTCTTTCCCCAGATATAACTATTAGAACTTGTATCATTTTCTCCCAAAAATTCGTACAGTCTAAAATTATTTTCTGGCTTTAAATAACCTGCAAAGGGTTGATAAGCTGTTAAAAGAAAGCTTAGTAATAAGGTGTTAGAACCTTTGGCAAGTGTACATATGAATCAAGTAGATTCTTTTTCTAAATAGCCACATATTATTTGTGTTCTTGAGAGAAATAACTAAATAGTACTTTTTTCTCTCTGAATTTCAAGTTATTTGGTGCCCAACAATGCTAGAAAACTTAAGTCTCTGTACCACCATTGCTGAATAAATGACGTGAACAATTAAAATGGAGTTAAGAATGTTCACTCCATGCATAATTATTTTTACTGTTTTTATTACAGCACAATTCCTTATGCTGATCAGTTAAAATATCCTAAGAATATATTCAATTTGCCTTTAATTTATGACTCGTCGATAAAATGGGTTGCAATGCAAAATGTGGTTCTTGATGCAGCTCATAGTAAAAAAAAAAAAAAAAGTTTGAAAAATGATGCCTTATGGAATGCTATGAGTTAATAATATATTTTTTTTTTTTTTTTTTTTTTTTTAAATTTGTTGTTTATCAAATTACTCAACTCTTTCATAATCATTTTAATATCTCTGATGCCACTGATTTGATTAATATCGGCTTTCAGGATTGTTTCAAATCTTTTAAATACAGTTCCCCACCTACATTTGTGTATAGAACTTCAAGCTTTGTTTAAGAAAGGTTTTATTTTAGAATAAATTGAAAATTCATGGAAGATATCATCAGATATGAGTTGAGAGAGCTTTCTCTAATCAACTCTAGGGAGTGGATAACAAAAAATTAACAGCCAAGCTCTATGCAGAAACCTTTTTGTCTAATTTTAAACTAGAATTAGGGATGTTGGGGATTATAAAGTAACACCAAAGTAATCTTGAGAAGAACTCATTCTCAGGACAGATGAATAAAATTCCTCAAAGAGAAATGAAAGAAAAATACTTTCAAATAAGTTTCCAAAATCCCAATTTATTTCAAGTGTAAATGACATTTGAGAATCTACTGTGCAGGAAAGACATTGGAATCTGTACAGTACTTTGATGAGCTGAATGCAACATCTCATTGACTCAAAGGACATGTTAAAAGGACCTTTACACATATGAAAACAACCCATCATCTTACAAATCCCTAGCTTCTCTAATGGTGGCTGATGCTGTTTAATCTAGGTCATGTAACTAAAAAGTTTAGGAAAAGATACCAAACTAAGCTGCAAAATCATCAAAATTTGGATTAAATCGGCTTAGAATAAAGACTTTATGATAACAAGATTGAAGTTTGTCTGAATCTCTGGGATGAAGAGTTATCATACTATTTACATGCAGATTATTGTCCTCTTCTTTGTTGTTGTTATCACAACATTTCAGCTGTTGTGCCTGCCAAACTTCATCAGGTGTATATCAATCCAGGTAACCTACAGAGAATTCTGAACTGAACCATTTATTTAATCTACAACAGTAGAATTTTCTTGTTTCATGTCTAGGTATATCTCATTTAGTTCTTATTTTTAGTACTGTTCAGTTATTGCTGTTTCCACTGCTCTGCCTAACCCAGGGATTGAACTCACAATTACCATGATACCAGATTCATGAACCAATGCTTTAATCCATATGGAAGCAGCTATTAACAGAAGTGCATTATAAATCTTTCACCTTTACTAAAGAGCACAAATAGATCTTTAAAAAAAAAAAAAAAGAAGCCTGGTTTAACACTACGTATATGTACTGTAGGTTTTTTTTTTTTTTTTTTTTTTTTTTTTGTGGAGTTGGGTGGTATGGGAAGAAAGTGTAAGAGTAGAATTATGCAGCATAAGATGCTAAGAATTAGTTTATTTCTTTTAAGCTAGTGTGAGATTTAAACAAAAATAGGGTGGTAGGAAAAATAAATTTTTTCCACTTGAATCTGTTCACGCTGACAGCTAACATGGAAACCAGAACAATGCTTCACTCTGGATTCTGTCTCCTGCACACCGTAAACAACAGTACTCTCGCTCTTTCTCTGGAATACAGGTATAACCTTCACCAGTCTCAAAGAACAAACTGCCCTGAAACAAAAAGTCAGGTCTTTTTATCCTTCAGTCTCCAGCAAGAAACCAAGATCTCTTGCTTGTGTTAACCTTGTTCTCGCCAAAGCCCGCCTCACAGGTCTATGATGTCTACAAACACAAGTACAGACAATTTGCCTTCTCTTGCTTCGGTGAAGTATAACCACAACTAGTGACAATTTTTTTTTTTTTTTTTTTTTTTTTTTTTTTGTGAGTTTTTGGTGTATTCACGTGTAACAGCTACTTAACTTTTGTTTCTTACAATGGTGTCCTGGGCATGACAATAAACTGCATCTGACAGCAAAGCCCCTGATCAAGAGATTTTGAGGAACATGGAATTGCCTCTTAATTATTGTTGTTTCCAGATCCACCCTGACCCGGAGTGGTAGCACCTGTTAGGGTGCCAGCTATGGACAAGTAGTTAACCTCAAAACTGGGGTGAAAACACTATGAAAGTGTAGAAGTGAATTTTTATAGTAAAAGTACCAGTAATACATTTTTGGGCGGGGGTGAATAACCTGCTATAGATCAATGAAACTTGATCTACAAAGTGATTTCTTACAAAGAATACATTCTATTTATACCAACATATCCTAAAAATCTTGTCAGCATTAAACAACCCATTGAGGTTGATATGCCATCAAACAAAATAAATCTTTTCTTACAATGATGTTCACCCTGTACAAGGCTCAAGATTCACTCTAAGTAAAAGGTTATAAAATAAGAGGCATCATCCCTAAACAAGGTGACAGTGCCACCAACATGCAAGAGACCACAAGATGTGAAAGAAGGAAAAGAAATTAGAGGGAATCAGAAACCCAATCCTAAACAAGAAATGAGGAATAAACCTCTACCCCAGGTATGGATTTAGTAAGACTTTTATTGCTAAAACCATTATTATCTCCCCCCACAAAAATATAATTGCATACAAAATATTTACATTTTGGCATTAAATAACCCATAGAAGTTGATATGCCACTAAGTTAAAACAACTAACCTCTTCCCGCAAACCACTTTTCTATGGAACTGACTACCAAGAGGATGTTGTCCTGATCACTACAATCTTAACCTGTTCAAGTCTAGGGTTAGCCGTTATCTTTCCCATATATACACATGAACTCTGCCTCTTACTCTGTAACCTCTACCTTAAGTGGCTCTTGACACTTTTACAGGGTGAAAATCGCTAAAAAATATATATATATGAATGCAGGTTTCTTTGTATATACATTCTTGAGTAAAATCATGCAATGGTTACTAAAACAATGTTCCTATTCTTAATTACTAAAAATGCCTACTGTACCATTTTGGGAATGGTAAGCATTAATAGTTTATAAATAGAGACTTATAATTAATACCAGATTTTTCATAAACCCATAATTAATATAGGATTTTTTTTTTTTTTTTTTATAAATCTGTAATTAATGCCAGATTTTTATTCTAATTTTATAATTACGCTGGATTTTACAGTGGGTATTAACAGGCTAAATAAATGTTTAAGCTTGTCATGTGATTCTTATAAATTCATGTACAGATTGTGGAAGAAAATGTCCTCAAAATAACAATTGTTGATCAGTCTTAATTTAAACAGTATGAGTAGATATGTTTGTCTATCACCCACTTCATGCTCTCTCCAGTCTTTTGAACAAGGGTAGAGGTTTACCCCTTTTCTATTCAGGATTGGGTTTCTTAACTCTATTTTCACACTATACTTCTAACATCTCTGATTGAAGTCTGAAATGTTATTCATTAATTAAATCTTGACCTCTTCAAGTCTAGAATTAGCTGTTATCTTTCCTGTATAGCCTGAAGAAATTTACTTCTTACCATTTTTACACTCCTACGGCAATACATAGTAATCCTCTACTTTGAGTGGATCTTTGGCCTTGTATTGGGGAAACATTAGTAAAAAACAATGAATCAACTTTGTTCTGGTTTCTTTTTAAAAGGTTATCTTTAGTTATTAGAATAATAGTTTTATTGATTGATTTTTTTTTTTTTTTTAATGATTTATCAACTTTTGCAGGTTACTTAAAGCCTGAAAATGTTTTTAGATTTCAAAAATTTTTGGGGAGATAATATTGATTTTTTTTTATTTTTTTTTTTTTATACTGATACAACTTTTACTGATTAACACATAGATGGGGAGAAAAGAGGTGGATTCATACCTTTCCCAAGGGTATTTGCATGTAAGTGAATGCAATAAACCTACCTAGAATAGGACCTTGATTCTCCAATTTCCCATTACGGATTGTTATCTATTTCACTACCTGCACATCCAAACTCATGGCACTAAATATTCCTAAGCAGTCACCCATCTAGGTACTGACCAAACTCAATATTGCTTAACCACAGAGATTGTACGAGAACTGGTGTTTCAATGTGGTATGGGCATAAGTCCTAGAATAATTATCATGATCAGTAGTTTCTTTATATATATATATATATAGCTTTTGTAACTATAGATATTTCCTGATGTACCAGGAAAAATATATTTTCTGGGGAAATAAATTATATTCATGGAACTTTAAGGTTTTAATTATTTAATTAATAATATTTGCTCTGGTGTTACATTGAGCTCTCTGGATTACAACCTCTTTGTAATTATCCACACTGATTACCAAACCCTTCATTACCTTTACTATATATATATATATATATATATATATATATATATATATATATATATGAAATTTGAAGAGTAAAATGATAACAATATTAGTTTCCACAGGAAGCTCTAACCAATAATAACATTCCTTGCAAGAGTAAGTCCTACTTTGTTTATTCCTCATCTCATTGAAAAAGTATACAGGCATGTTTGAAAATTCCGACTTTAAAATCTTTCTCTTCATGCTTCAATTTAGTCAAAAGGCTAATATATAATAAATATCATCAATCTTATTGCAAACATTGTTATCATTTTGTTGTTTTTTTATTCCTCAAATTTTATTAACCGGCCTATTAAATCTACATATTATAAGAAGCACACATGGACCAGTTTCGTTTCAATATATATATATATATATATATATATATATATTAAATAAAAAAACAGACCACTTTAAGGTTCCATGTAATAAATTATTTCACCACAGCCCTTTTAAAAGGACTGCAGATCATCACTTTACTTCCAAACAAAAAATGAAAAGAAAATTTACACATTTTTGACGAGCCATATTAAACATATGTAAATTGAGGAAGTGAGGGGGGAGAGAGAAGACATGAGTGAGTTAGCAGATATTGACACATTTAAACAGTTAACTTAACGGAAGTTATATATTGATATCGAAGGGGGAGAGAAGGAAGTTAAGAGAGAAGATGTCACTAATTTTCTTTGTAAAAAAGGCTACAAACAGATGCTGTTATTTTGTTTTACTTTGAAAGTGTTATTTTAGGGGTTCATAAAGATTATAATGTTTGATATAAATTTGAATGTCTCTAGACTGTCTACAAATAAATTAATTTGAGTTTTGTTAGTGATTTAAATTTTTTTTAAATTGTGGGGATTTTCTATGAAATAGTCGATTTAGGAAAATATTCATAGAAAGTACATTAAAAGAATAAAATTTTATTTTAAAATATAAGTTTACTTCTAGTAGTCTTTTTTTTATCTTTTTAAGAATTTTTCATTATTGATTAAGTTGACATCTCTATCCGTTTGAATTTTGTTCATGAATTTAACTCGTGACTGTTTCTAGATAAGTAATCTCTTTTACTTAAATTTTAGTTAAGTTAATATGGGGTAATATTTGAAGGTAATATTAAAGATCTTGCTCTGTCACATTTTATATATATATATATATATATATATATATATATATATATATATATATATATATATATATATATATATATATATATATTATTGAGAGTTCATGACTTTTCTAGTGGCATTAGTGAATGATTAGAATAATGTCAGTCACTCTGAATAGAAATGATATTTCTCGATCTTCTATCTGATATGCAATTCCTTTGGCCACTAGATTTCTCTGAACCAAATCATCTTTTCAATTGACTGTCTACAAACTGTAATATCCATGAGGCAAAAAAATTGGTCTAAACCCAAAGTCTATGTTTTGGAAATAGATTTGTCTAGAACACAGGTATACTCTTGAAAAATTGCTGATATTTTTGTCTGAAAATGTCTAGGTGTTCAACATTAATTTGTTCATAATACATTTGTGAAAAATGGCAGGGAGATATAGATTATAACCTGAAGGTTACTTTGGAAAATTATTTTTCACTAAAAAAACAGCATAGCATGATGGAAAAAGGCCCCAAACTTAATAAAAACAAATTATTGTCAAAATGTTTGATATTATTAAGAGGAAAGAACAAAATATTTTTTAATTATTTTTAAAAAATTTTTCCTCCTTTCTAACATGTCTGAAATTTGCATCAAAAATCTTTTTTTTTATCAACTGTGTAGGACATTTTTGTGTAGCTGTTTCCAGTAAAACGACACATTAATTTGGAAATTCTTGCAAAAAACAAATAATTGTTGGATTTTAATGAAAATTTTGGGACTTATTCAAAAATGAATGAATTTATTTTGGAAAATTTTAATTTTAAAGAATCTTGGTAAAAATATATATTTTTTTTTATTATATCTGTTACATTTTGTTAATTGTTAAATATTACCTGGTAGTTAAAAAAACAAAAACAAACCATTAGAATTTGTAAATCTATGACAATTCTGGTCCATCACACTTAGCCTGTCACCTTATTTGGCAGTTAATATATTAAGGGATACATTAGAAAAACAAAACCCTGTCGTCAAGAAATGCTTATAAGTAATATTTTTTTTGAGAAAAGTTTACTTTAAATTTGTTAATTATATGAAAATATCATTTCAGAAATGTATTTTTATTTTTGCAGGATTTTTGAGACTGTGAATTAACTTTTATTTATATTTCTGTCAGAAAATTAAAAATGTCCGTTTTGATTGATTTTTTTTTTTTTCTGAAGACTAAAAATCATAATACACTACAGTATTTTGTTTTCTGGAATTAGAAAATGTAATCCTTTAGCTTTCAATTGAAGCTGGGAGAAAAGCTTCAAAAAGGAAATTTTCATTTATAAAAAATACATTTAAACCTTAGGTATACCAAGTAGATGTACTTAATTTAGTGTCTCTTTACATTCGATTTACTTTCAGGATTAAATTATGCCTGAAGAGAAAAATAATAAATGTACTACCCAGTGCAAGAATTGAGTTCACAGCCCTCAGTCAACCAGTTAGAGACTTTAGCTTTTAATGGAGATGTCATCCCTTGTTGACTGGAATAAGATCACCCACTGGAGCTCTATAAAAGCCAAGGCTTTTTCTCTCTCAGATTTTTTTTGTCTGTTGCCTGGAGAACCTTTGTCACTCAGCTTTAGCCCCCACCCAGTGTCTTTTTGTCAGTTGTGCAGTTGGTTGATTACTGAGAAAGTCAAGCAGAGAGGGGAAGGAAAGGGAATACTAGGAAGCAGAAGCTATAAGAGCGAAAACGATTACTTAAACTACATAAAGCAGTTTTCATTAGGAATTATTCTTTCTAAAAAATTCTTTCAATTTTTCATTCTAAAATTTGAATCTTATTTAATATATGCAAATTACTATTATTAAATAAGACAAAATGTGTATCAAAAGATCAGTTATTTGACACGGGTCCATTTTTGCCAACTTAGTGTTGGACTCTATCATTCACTTTCAGTTGATGATAAATGAATGCTGATAATTTTTTAGTGGTTTTCTACTCCATTTGGTTTTATTAAAAAGCTATTAACATTCTATGCTTAGCATTTTAAGTGGAATTTGTAATTACAGTCCCTTAAAACCTTTTGAGATAGCCAATCAAAGACCTTGGCAAATGGACAATAAAACATTGCACATTCCTCTTGCTATGTATAACTACTATTAGTCATTGGGTTGCAGTGTATAAGCTAACCTGTCAGGTGTTGCAGAGTCTTAACTTGCTATTTGCTTCCTACTTATTTGTATTGAAAGAGGAGCTATGTTAGAATATGTTTAGAAGCAGAACACAAGAATAACGTTTCAGTGTGTCAGCTCTAATGTTGATTTGCCAAAATCAAGCTATATTTTTATGGCCAAAACTTCTTCAGTAACCTGTAAATTGATCCTGTTCATAGATATTAATTTCTAAAATAGAAATGTGTAACATTTAGGAATGTGTCTATCCCACTTATTTTTCTTATCTGCCTTGGAATAAGGAAAAAGGTCAGCACTCATTGTTAAGGAAAACTTGAAATGAAGTGTTAGTAGAGCCATGACTGTAATCTTATATAATATTTTATACTAATGTTCATCCAATACAAGGCCCAAGAGTCACTCAAAATAGAGGGTTACTGAATGAGGTTGTTATATGGACATAAGAGGAGAAGGTAAGAAGTGCAGTTTGTGAGGATATGTAAGAAAGATAAGAGTTAACCTTAGACTTGAAGAGGCTAAGAATTGTAGCAATGGAGGAAAAGATCCTCTCAGGGGTCTATTACGCAAAGTGGTGGTTCTTGGGAAGAAGCTGTCCAAGTGAAACTTCATTCTCACAAATGGGATACCAAAGGAATGCGGATGATTTGTTCCAGTTTACAGAAGTTTTCAATATATGCAATGCATAATTGCACATATAATAAAAAAAAAAAAAACTCTTTGCTTTCTTCCTTATCATCTACAACAGGCATGTCAAACTCGGGGCATATGGATGGCCGCATCGGCCATATCTGCAGCCTCAAGGGCCGTACCTGCTTAGTCTTACATTAATCACAGCTAGTGGTAACATCGCAGAGTTCAAAGCTTGCAGTAACAGAACTAACATTGCCTTTCTGAATTTTTGTAAAGCAACTCTGTTGCTGTGTTAACTTTGAATTCCTTCACTTTTGAAACATGCATTTCTCTTTCATATTTATCATAAGATCAATGGTTTGTTTCATAATGTCTTTTCACATTATATTCTTTTGACGTTGCAATGCAATGGTTGCAAATCAAACAGTTTATCTTTCCATTAACAGTGGTACAAAAGTACTGTAATTCCAACTTTTGAAACATATGTCCTTCAGATAATTTTCTCTTTTTACGAGATGGAGTAGAATTCAACATTTTTAAGGCAAAATATTACAAAATTACGAACATTTTCACTTTGTTCTTATTTAGTTGTCAAGGATGATCACATGATTTAACCAGAAGTTAAAAATAGTCACTGACATTCGAAAACAAAACCATTGACATAGAATAAAGAATGTAAATCACACCAATTGAAAAAAATTTCATTGTTTTTAATAATTTTCATTACCAACATAGATAAAATTCTCCATATACCACGGCTATAGAAAACTTTGTGAGGGCCACCAAGTTGCATGCAAAGGGCCGCATGCGGCCCACGGCCTGCCAGCTTGACACATCTGATCTACAAGATTATATATCCTTTTTCAAATCACTTTGTATATGAAAATTGGAACACTTGTGTTGAAGAACACTACATAAAAATGATTGAAAAATTCATGTATCACTAAAAGACTAAGATATACATATTAGTTGATATATAGTTTATTAAAATATACCAATGGTATTTTGCACAAATTTGAGTTAGAAATAACTTTTGAGGTTTAAATGGCTAATAATTTATTGAAATTGTTGAAATGAAATTCAATGATGTCATTAATCCATCCTTTCAAAAATATTGCAATCTCAACACCATCCACTGGGATTTAAATTTTGCTTGGATATAAAATGAGAATTTTATGACTTAAATAAAAAAACTAATTAATAACTGAAATATATGTAGCAAAAAATGAGATCTTATTTATATGTGATATTGGAAGCTTTTATAATTTAAGCTCATTATAATTTGTATTGTCAAAGAATTTAGATAAAGATAAAAAATCTTCTTTAACAGTCTTGTATTAAATCCATAAGACTTTTCAGTAAAAAGAAATTTCTGTTGAAATTTAATCTTTTGGCTCCATTCTGCTTGTCTTATACCATATGTGGGTAATAATGGTTTGCCACTTCTTTTGTTGATCTAAGTAACTTTTAACCCTTAACCATCTCTATTTGTCCCTATTCTACCATCCATTCAAATTTGTTAATTAAGTTACTCATTCTTCTCCTTCCCCCTACTGCTTTTCTTGCAATCGGTATGTCCTGTGAGTGATAAATTCTTGAGGCCTTCTTTCCTCATTATATCACCAATCATACAACAGTATATAAATCTGTTTGAATTGTAAGAATTGGATCCTTACCATTTAGCTCTGCAATTGATTTTCTTCACTTTACTAAAATAAAGGTGTAGATGTGGTGCTTGCAGTTATGAGACCTAATGAAATTTATAACTACTTGACTTTATTCAGCATAGCATTTGACTATAACAAATTTCACTTGAGTACTTCCTTGGTGGAGGGAAATGTTTTATACTTGTTTGGAATCAATTATTTTTTTTCCAAGGTGAATTTTTCATCACCAGAAAGAACTTTATACATCAACTATTAAAATTGTGTTCTCAAATATCTCTTTGGCATATTTAACAGTTATACCATCTTTAATTTTAACATTAAATTAGCAAATGCATATACAAGTACTCCACCACTTTTCTGGCAACCAATGCTCTGGTACCTCTTAATTCAGTCAGAATTGTGAGCAAGCATTTGAATTTCATATGATTGACAAATTCACCAGGCAGGTACAAATGGCATCATTTTTAATAATAGTAATAATCTAAGTTTCTAATAGGTTATGATGTTGCGATAAGAGATATAATTGATGTCAAAGATGTATTATTGAATTGTTATTACATGGCTTCTGTTGCCCTGACAAAATGAATAATCTGGATCCAAGGATGCCATAAAATTGGTAGTACAAATTTGAAGGAGAAATTGAATTTGATAATTTCATTTTTAAAATTTATTTCCTTCTGGTAGAAAAATATTTCTTGCTTGATGAATTTAATAATGTCTCTCTGAATAAAAATGACATTTGAATCTAACAAGTACCTTGATGAATAATGTGTAGCTTGTAAATTGCAATCTTGTTTTTCTCCCCACATTTAATTAATGTTTATATCAGATTTAGTTTTAGTTGATTATTATCTCTGCCATAAAACAGAATGAAAACCACTTTGTCAATATGCTTCAGCCACGATGCATACTTTCAGTTATGAAGCATGCATATGAAACCTGGGAATTTGAAAAGAATTGTTTCAAGAACAGAAAAGCACATTGGATAGAGTAATCCTGGGGATAATTCCAATAGATATAAAAAGGTCAACATGGACCAGACAATAGAGACTCAGATAAGTGATTAAATACCATAAATGGAGATAGAAAGGATAGATAGCAAAAAGAAATAACAGATGGAGCAAAAGGTTGGTTGATTTAGGCCCTATAGACAGCAAATGAAAAGATGGAAAAATTAAATATAGGGGTTTACTACTAAGACACTGTAGAGAATGGTAGTCATAGAAGCATTTGGGAAAGGTTTTGGCCTTGTTGTGGAAGAGTAATGACGGGTGATCATATAAATCCACCAATTTCCAAGGTAGTAAATTGTTTGTACTGACTTTTGTCAGCCCATAAATTTAATACTAGATCTTTTAGGATTAAAAATGACTTCGATATGATTGGACGGAAAAAAGAATTGCATCTACAATGAGTTATAAAAGTTTACAAGAGCCTGCTTGAGGAAAATTATTTACAGACCATTATAAAATGGATATCAATTAATGCAACTTGCATTTAAAATTTATTATCACTTGGATGCTACACTCTGCTAACATTTAGAAATTACTTTTCCTCCAAAATATTCCTGCAAAAATTTGTTCTTTCCAGACAGTGCATGTGCTCTCTAACCTTGGGAGGTCCAAGCTCCTCCACAGGATATGCTATGAGCCAGCTGTTATACAACCATACTTCTAACTCCTGGTTAAATTCCTTGTGTGCCATCTCGGACAGAGAATACTCTGCTATCTTGTTTCGTAGGCCCTTTAGTGCCTGATTTTTGGCCCACTTCTTTGATCGCGTTCATCCCGATCAGGAGGTCAAAGCCAAGTGGCTTCTCTCAAGCCACCAATGCATTGATCTTGACAGGACTTCCCCCTTGCAGCTGGTGCTAGTCTTTCTGTCTATAGTTGTTACGCATACAGGTCCTTTTATCAACGACTGGCATATCTCGCAGCTTGCTATAGACAGTGGACAACCAGTATCAACCAGTGCGGCAATGCTTCTGCCATAAACCTGTACCACAATCACAGGCAGTGGCAGGCTAGAGAAGATCCTGGCACTGACATATCTTCTCTTCTCACATTTTCCTGGCATATGGCTCACAGTATGGCAACGGTAACAGCGCATGGTATTGCATTGTCCTTACCCTTGTCCCCTGTCATTTTCTTGTCTTGACTATCTTTAGCCATGTGGCTAATGCCATTGTATCTAAAGCACTTTCTGACATCAGCTTCCGTGCTTTGCATCAGCTGGGCTGCCACTAGGACATCCTCCATCTCCCCGTCTCTCCCAATCGCTCTGGCTCAGGCAAGCATCGCCTGGCAACTTGTGTACAAATGTGCAAGCCAGCATGCAGCCGCTCATCCCACCCAACAAGAACGTGAGTTTCTTCAATTCAGTCAGATATACATCCATGGATTCGCCATACTGTAGGTGCTGCTTGGTGTTTGTACACCATGAACAAATCCGTAGCAAAGGCTGCAACTTTATCTGGTCAATGTTAGCTTTTGCCTTGTCCTCCAGCTGCTGGTAGACTGCAAATGCTCCACCCATAAATCTAAAAGGGATCACATGCGCCAGAGGCTTCACTTCACATAGAAAAGCTGGAACTCGTTTGCAAGCTATCTGTTGAACCACTGGAAGACCAGATGCCAAACTGTCAAACTTGGGAATTAATTTTAAGTCAAATTTGGTGTCTGCCATTGTCTGTCAGTTGCCAAAATAGCTTGTGTTCATCTGGTTTGGTTTTCCACACATCCACATGATGAGAGCACTCCTTGTGATTGAGAAAAAACTGGTGTTCCATAGCTCTTCCAGTGCCAGACCCACATACACTATTGGCTAATACCTGCCCAGTATTGTTCATATGCAAATAGTCAGCACCATTTACTGTAAGTAGAATGTCTTCTCTCCACAGCCCATTGTGGAAAAGGATGTAACTCCTGGTGCTTACAGCACCATATGCAACCAATTCTGAGTCTCTTATTGGGTTGACCAATTCTACAGTTTGTGATTTTATCAATAATAGACAAGCTTAAAGCTTGTTGGATTAAATCAAGTTTTGCACAGGGCCACGTTTATGGTGAATTCTGTAAAGAATGAATCAGCAGGTTTGATCAGTTATATGTAAACACTTGCTGTAATGGCTGCTTCAGGATCATTTATCTACATTTACTATAGATGGAGTAAAATTTTGTGACTTGTATAATGCTGTGTAGGAAATGTTGTAGCAATTATGATGACAAGATAATGTAATTTTTATAATTTTTACTTCTTCTCTCTCTTAATGCTGAGACTCACATTATTTTGCTTCCCCTCATCTCTTTGTCTATCTAATTTGTTTCTCTTTGTATATAGGTTTATGGCTGTATCAAATTAAGCAACATCAAGCCTGGTCTGTATCTAGATGGGTGACTTCTTGGGAATGCTAGCTGCTGTAAGTTTGGATGTGCAGTTGGTGTAATTGATAACAGCTCTGAATTGGAAAGCAAAGCCAAGTTCCAATTACAATCAGATTCATTATATTCATTTATGCACAAATAATCTTGGGAAAGGCATAAATCCATCTCTTCCCCGTCCGGCTATGGCTTAATTAGCAGGACTTTTATCATTAAAAATCATTGTCTCAAAAAAAAAAAAATAAAAAAAATAATGTTAAGTCATAAAAAATATCAATTGTATATGTGTATATATTTGATTGTTTTTTTTTCATATGGGTTATCTACCTCTTGCAGGTTATTTAAAGCCATAAGATATTTGGGGATTGTAAGAATTTTGGGGGAGATAATGATTTACTGTTACAAATCCTATTTAACCCATAGCTAAGGAGAGAAGAGATTAATTCATACCTTTTTCAAGTATTAACATGTAAGTGAATACAACTAACCCAACTGGAATTGAAACCCAGCTCTCCAATTTCCTTGCTGTGTCCATTACACCACCCATGCTGTCAAGCTGGTATTCCCAAGTAGTCACCCATCTAAGTACTGCCTAGGATTGATGTTGTTTAACTTTTGAGATCATATGAGAACTGGTGTCTCAGTGTGATATTTTTAATAACTACCGATGTTTGAGTAGATGCTCTGTTTCTTTATTAGCATATTTATTTTCATCTATTGGCTTAAATATTCAAGAATTCTTATTAAAGAAAAGATGTTCCTTCTGGCAGGATCTGAACCTGTGTCCCCCTTAGCTGAAGAAACCATCATTAGATCTGATGTGCTTTAGACCAACTCGGCCACAAAGGATCTTGCCAGTCAGAGGCATATTCAGCTTTGTTCGATCAGCAAACTCTTATAAATCTATCCCTTCCCCCAGAAATACAAATTCTGGCCTAATAGCAGGGCAGATAAGACAAATCATAGTTGTCTATTGATCTAGGTTCTAGACTCCTAGGAGAAGGACAACTCTGAATTCAAAACTAGTGTGTATGTAGTCCTGGCAATATACATCCATTTAAAACATAGAGTTCACATTTAACTGTGGCATCAGGTTGTGATCTCGATGAGGTTAAATAAATAAAATAAAAATAAAAAATATGCCAGTAAATAAATAGTTGAATCATGCTGTCAAAATGTAATGGCAATATTTAAATAAATTTTCAATTGCATTGTACTTAGAAACTATTAAAAACTTTGTTGATCTGCATTTTCTTCTTTTTGAATTTATTCTGAATAGTAAAGAAAACAATATTCTATTCAGCATTGAATAATTGTGGAGTTTTATTTAAGACCAGTTGAAGTTGATGGCTTGTCTATGGGTTCGCCAAGGTGGGATCATTTGTGTCGAGAACAAAAGGGGGCGGAGAAATTAAATTATTAAGAAAGAAAGACCCATGGGGAGAGAAAAAAAAATGCAATCATTGATATATTTGAATTTTTTGTCTTTAAAATTTAAATATCATATTCATATCCATTTTAATGTATTTTTTAAAAATAAATGCTTAAACATTTCTGTTTTAAACAAAATTGTTGATTGTACAAAATATTTGCAATTATTTTATTTTTAAATCATTTAAAAAAAAAAAAAAAATATCCAAAGAAGGCTGCCACGAAATAAAAGAAATAAAAATTGGTGTATTAACAACCTGGTTTCATTGTTGAAGTAACACAAAGCATTCATTTAGCTGTGTTGCCCTAACAAAGAAATATCTTGTTACCTCAAATGGAAGATCAGTCTGCCTGGCCACTAAATATTTAAAGTCATATTGGGTTTAAATTAGGAAGTGCAGAAAAGTTCTTGGTTCAACCCACTTGCCAAAATCTGACCAAATCCTCCAAAACAAAACAGCTCTCTATTAATCATCTGAAAGAATCCTTTCTGCTTTCCATCAGCATGGCTAATGTTAACCTCCAGGAAAGTAACTCATTGCACCTACACGGGCTAACATTTCCCGCTGACATGAAGTGAAAAGATTATATTGAATAAGTTGAATTGGTCTGCTGCTGTGAAAGTGGATTCACTGTATTGTGCTAAACAATTTTTTCTATCCTGAATATATCTTACATATTTACAAGTCTACAATTCGTCCATGCTTTGAATATTGTTGCCACATATAGATTGGTGCTCCTGAGATATATATATATATATATATATATATATATATATATATATTTAGAGATTCTTGATAAAATCAAAGGAATCTGCAGTATTATTGGTCCTGGCCTGGCCTCTTGGCTTCAGTCACTTTCTCACTGCCATAATGTAGCTTCCATGTACCTTTTCTATAAATGCTTTTATGGTAATTGTTCTGATGAACTTTCCACTATGATACCTAGACTCTATGAACTTAGGTGTAGTACTAGATTGACAACAGGGTCTCAATCATTTTACAATTGAAAGGGATACATGTAACCATTAATTCTATACTAACAATTTCTTTTTGTTACCTTCTGTCTTGGGTTCTGTTCTTTTATTGTTCTTGCCCCTTAACATTTAACATTCTGTAAGGTGATTTTGTTTGCAAGACAGAAATTTTATCCTGCCACTGCAAATGACTTAGATGAATAAATAATAGTGTGTTTGGCAGTATTGTTGTCATATCCTGCTATGGCAACAGAAAATGACCATAACTGAAATTAAGTAGTGCTGAAAACCAGTCTAGTGGAAATAAAAGTAGTGAATAATGAAGTATATTAAAGGTTTTAATATTTTTCTTATATTTTTTCAGATGCAGTAACCCCCTGTGTGTTAGTGGCTTTGTTGCCTTGTTTGCTGTGAAATGATTAAAAATCATTGACCATCATTTAAAAACTTTTAAATACCTTGGTTATAAAATAAATATTTTAAGAGTCAAACACCATTTTATTTTATCTCTCTCTCTCTCTCTATATATATATATATATATATATATATATATATATATATCTCTTATTATAAAACGCAGATTGTGTGTGTGTGTGTTTGTAACATTTATATATTGGATCGGATTTCCTACATTTTTCAACCGATTTCAACAAAACTTCACAGGACTACATAAAATTACCTTGTGGTGGTTCTAATGTTTTAAAAATGGGAAAAATATAATTGTTTTTGCACAAAATCAATTTGAAAACACAATTAAGAGACTTCGTGAAAATGGAAGGGGACAACTCACATTGGGTTGTTTTTGTGTGTGTGTGTGGGTTCCTTTAAATATGGGAACGGATTTCCTATATTTTTCAGCCGATAAAACAAAACTTCTTTTTTTTTTTTTTTTTTTTTTTTGGCAGGTAGTGTTTTTATTCTCTTGCACTTTTTTTCTTTATTTTTAACATTCAGAATGCTTTAAAAATTCCATTTACAAGACAATTATTTATAATAAAATTCTATTCAATTCTGAAACTCATAACGATTGAAAACAATGTTTGAGTTTGGGTTTGACCAATTCGTAAAAAATAAAAAAAAATAAAAACTAGTTAAGACATGCGTGTCCGTCAACCTTAAACAATAATCTAACGATCTCTACTGATTGTACGAATACAAACATCGGATAAATTCTTTATCTTTAGGGAAAGATAATGAAATCTAAACATACACAAGTCTTAACTAAAAATAATAACCGGAACGGGAAACTACTTTAAATACACATGGTGTTCAATTTTTTTTTACTGTATTCAATAAGTAAAAATCATAAATTGTAAAAAGATTATTATTACAGAAAGGCTACTAAATGAATAAGATTTGTTAGATCATAATTAATAAACCCAAATAAAGTTAATATTTTTTTGTATTAGAAACTTAGTGGAAAATATATTCAAATCAGAATTCTAATTATGAATCACCACAAGCAAAATATGCAATTTTTTATTACTGTATTCAATAAGTAAAAATCATAAATTGTAAAACTAAAAGATTACAGAAAGGCTACCTACATTTTTCAACTGATTTCAACAAAACTTCCCTTTTTTTTTTTTTTTTTTTGGCATGTAGTGTTTCTTATTGTTTTGCACACTTTTTTCTTTATTTTTACGTTCAGAATGCTTTAAAAATACCATTTACAAGCCAATTGTTTATGAAATTCTATTCAATCGAGAGACTCATAACGATTGAAAACAATGCATGAAACACTGTCGCCTCTAAGTGTTGGCTTCTATGTTCACTTTTATATTTACACATGCTCTATATCTGATATTGAGCACTTTATCCCATAAATATGGCATCTTAAGACTATATTTCTTTATTATATATATATATATATATATATATATATATATATATATATATATATATATACACCTTGCGAAGGCAAATTACCTGCACTTTTTTGTCGACTTTTTTTTTTTTTTTTTTGCAAGGAAATGATGATTGATTTTAAATCATTGTTACAATTTGTGAAGAAAAGTGATGCATTTCAATGTTACTCAATGATTTTGCTGATGTGATCTCCATCTTCTGGTTTTCTCCTATATTTTGGATGGGAGTCATTCCTTTGTTCAAATTTAAATCAAAGGGAAAACAATTTTCAGTCGGAGTGGAGTTATGCAAAAACAGCTTAATCTGACCCATTTGATACAATACTTGATTGAATGAATTGATGAGCAGATTTCAACATTGATATGACAGTTGAATTGTTGCAACAAATATGCATTGTAAGGCACTACCGACTGATTTTTATTTATTTATTTATTTTTTCCTCAACACGACATCCATATTATCTCATTTTGATCTTGCTGATGCGACCTCCATCTGGCTTTCTCCTCCTATGTTTTGGATTGGAGTCATTCCCTTCTTTAAATTTAATTTAAATTGAAAGGAGGTAAAATTTTAGTGGTGGGGTTTGTGCCTCCTGGGGGAACCCCTTTGATGAAAATAAAATATCCAAGTACTCTGGGTTATGTAGTTTCAGCATATATATGGTTATCGGAGTCTATCTCCAAGATCTTGTAAGGAGTTCAATAACAAACAGATAGAAGCTACTTATATATATATATATATATATATATATATATATATATATAGATATATAGATATTTAAGTTATGAAGAACTTGGTAATCTGTATGGGTAATCCCAAGGAGGATGAAGTCCTGAGAGCTCAGTGGTATCTGATGATCCAGCGTCCTTTAAAAGGACTCTAGTGAAATAAATTATTATAATGGTACCTTAAAGTGGTCCCTTTTTCTTTTAAATATATATCTTGATATTTGGAATGTTCTACATTATATTACATGCATTCCAATTCAATTAATCAAAAAGTAGTTTTTATTTTATTATCCCGCCTCTTCTACCTAAGTAAATATTAAAAATAGGTACTGATTAAACATCTTAATAAATCTTTAATTAAATTCTATACTTTCATTAACGCTTAAGTAATAAATATCATTAATCATATATTAATTGTAAGTATTCACTATTTTCTTTGCATATACATGCTTTATTTTTCGTGTTATAATTTTCTATAATTTGTTATATATATATATATATATATATATATATATATATATATATAAAAATCTCAAATCTCCATATTTGTATTTTAACATATTTCCTGTGTACAAATCTCATTGCTTTGTTAACAGATATGTTTTTTAAACTTTATTAACTGTTAAAATTTTCAAATTAACCACAGCATTTTTTAAGTAGCAGTGTTACTATGGTAAAAAATTTTTTCCTTAGATTTTTATTCAGTTGTTTTGATAAGGAATTGAAAATAAATTAAATATTTAACTGGTTTTCTCAAAATCTAAAGTGCTGTTCTGAGATTTCGTATTAGTAAGGGCTTTCAGCCAAGTCTCAATGAAACCCTTGTTCTCATATGATCACCAAAGTTAAACAACATTGAGTCTGGTCAGTACCTAAATGAGGGACTACTCGGAAATACCAGGCACTGTAAGCTTTGATGTGTAAATAGCCTTGGGAAAGATCTGAATCTATCTCTTCTCCCTCCAGTTATAGGTTAATTAATAGGATTTGTATCAGTAAATCATTATCTCAAAAAAAAAAAAAAAAAAAACTTTTGCAATCTAAAAATATTTTATGGCTTTAAATAACCTGAAAAAGGTTGACAACTTGTAGGAAACAAATCAATCAATAAAAAAAACCTATCCGTCATTTATCATATATTTATAGAAAAATGAAAACAAACAAAACCTGATATTTATTCCAGACAACTTTTGAAAAGTAGGATTGTTATTGCTCTTTGAAGATCATAAATTCAACCAAATAACCACTCTCTAAAAATTGACTGTTTTTCTATAAGTCTTACACTGTTAGATTCTTTTGACCTATTCTAATGTATTAATTGGCATTTCTATTATGTATGATTTGTATATTTTATGTCTTTAAATCACCCACCAAATGTTCATAAAGTCTGATCAAAGCATTATCTTTTTTATTTTTACTTTTTTTTTACTTTTTTTTTTGTATTAAAAATATAAACTTTCTAAACATCTCACATCAGGTAAAAAGGTTGCATGGATTTTACAAGTCAAAAACTATACTACATATTTTATTAATGGATAACCAAAGCAAAGGTCACTAAAATACTTTTTTTTTTTTTTTTTAATTAGCATTTACAAGAAAGTAAAATCCACATTAACTATTCTAAGAGTAGTATGAAAAATGTAGAAAACAATTTTTTTTTTTTTTTTACCTTTTAATTAAAAAAAAAAATTGTGGCTTTGAAAAGGAACCTGAGTTAAGATGTGAAGTTATAAATTTGAAACTTGGGTTGTTTTTATAAATAATTCATTGATTCTAATTTGGTCAGCTAGAAAGGAGGGTAAATTTTGATGAATGATTACAGGTTTCTCTATATTTCTCCTCAAAGGAACAATTGACACTGACATTAATAAGCTCTTTTAAGAAATAAATGTACTTGTAAATTTTTTTTGCTTGTTCCAGAAGTTAGGTTTTTGAATTATTTGGCCAAGGTTCCAAAATGTTTGGTTGGTATATGGTTTTTACCCCCTTTTTTATTTATTTTTTTTTCAAAATGTATTAATGAATTTCAGTAATTAATTTTAAATTTAATTCTTGAAAAATACTAAGGACAGGAATTTCTAGCCATGATTCCTTCATTGTTTGAAGTTGAATTACCAATACTCAATGGTAATGTTAAGAAGGATTTAGATCAATGAAATTACAGGTTGGTGCTATGTAGTAAAAGCTGAGAGGCTTGATCACATTTGGGATATAAAAGAACATTAACAAAATCTTACAAACTAATTAATTTTACCTTTGGACCCTGACCATAACCTATACATTTCAATAAATAGGGGATTACAGCCATATGTTGAAACCCCAGTTCCCATATGGTCACCTAAGTTAAGCAAGTTGAGCCTGTTCAGCACCTAGTGGGTGACCACTTGGGAATAGCAGGTGCTGTAAGCTTGGATGTATGGGTGGTGTATTCCAGTTCCTGTTGGGTTCATTATATTCAGTTACATGCAAATACCTTTGGGAATGGTATGAGTCCACTTCCTCTCTCCCCAGCTAAGGGTTTAATTAGCAAGACTTGTATCACTAGACCATTATCTCTTAATAAAACAAAACTGATAATGGCTCCAAATTGGAAAGTCAAATTCCAATTCCAGCTGTCTTCATTATATTCACATATGTGCAAATATCCTTGGGAAAGGTATGAAATTACCTCTTCTTCCCCTCCCAGCTATGGGTTAATTAGTAGGACTTGTATCAGTAACTCTAGAGTGGCAAGTTTTCTGTGATACGGAAAAAAACAAAAACATTGAAATAAAGTAGGAAATGGAAAACACGGATAACTAGATTTTTGGTACTAAAAAAAAAATCTGAATAAAAAAAAATACAGAGCGAGAGAAAGAAATCATATAAATCAGAGCCATTTTTTTAAATTTTTTTTTTTTATTTCTAAATTTACTCTACTATCAGCATAAATGTAGTTTGTACTTTGTAGTAGGTCTACCATATCCACTGTCATCACTACAAAACTTTGTATATTCTGACAGTAAATCATAAATTCCTGAGCTGAACTCAACAGAATCATTATTTTGCATAAATTTGCAATACACAGTGAAGTCAGTCATTTATGCACAAATGCTACAACTTATATTGGTGCAACATGTCATTCTATAAATAACATGGGGTATTTTCCACTACTAATCCCAGTACTGTGCAAGCACCATAACCTAATTCATGATATTAAACTGGCCAAACATATCACTGCTAGTTGTCGTAAGGCAAATACCCACATGCAATATTAATATATGAATAGTGTGGCACACACTGTTAAGGGTAGTAAAAATAAAAGTTGTTTGTTTAGTAATTAAATTAGATTTTTTTTAAATGCTGGTTTGATTATCTTTCGCGATGAGTTAATTAAAAGCTAGTAAACTTGGTGGGTGCACACTTTTTGGCAAAAGAGCCAGCTTTCCGTGATGATTTTTATCATGATGGTGATAAATTATTTTACAGTTTTTTTCAACACACACAAGTTTCTGTTTTTTACATGTTTTTATGATTTTGAAACAAAAACAGAAAATTGAAATTTATTCTCATGGAAGAACACAGAATTTGAAGTCTTAGAACATGGAGAACTTGTCATTCAAATCATTATCACTAAAAAACTTTATTACAATCTAAATATATTTTTTGGCTTTAAATAACCTGGAAAGGGTTGATAAACTGTAGGAAACAAATCAAACCAGTGAATAGAGCTCAGATAGAAAGACTGGGCAGATACCTCAACTATATTTAGACAAAAGAACAGCAAGATTTATGGAAGATAAAAAAAGAAGGAAAGGAAGAACCTGACTGTGAAGAATTTGTCTTCTTCCAAAAAATAAATAAAATAAACAGATTTGTCTTTTTGGAAGAAGATTAATTCTGAATACAAGGAATAGAAGCATGGGAATGTCTTAAAAGTCCTAAAGTCGCAGTGCCCTGTTTTGTCATAATTCCACTATCCTTCACTACTACAGGTTCTCCTCATCTAAATGAACTTAGCAAAATGTATTATTTGTAACATAGTATCAGTAACATGAGACAGGTGCTTATGGGTTTAAATAGTATCAGTAACAGAAGGATCATCTACAACAGTGGTTCTTAACCTTTTTTTGAGTCATAAAACCCTTCAAGAATCTGGTGAAAGCTTTACCCCAGAAATATTCTCATAAATACAACTTTGTATCAATGGATATAATGTATTTTATTTATTGAGATTTTATGTCTCATACCTACAAGATATACACAATATATTAGTAAACTTTTAAGGTAAAAATCTAAACAAGACAAAAAAACACTCTATTCTATGCAAAACATTAGGGCCACTCATAATCATGTAATACAATTCTCTTGTGCATATTAAAACAGATCTACTAATACTACTACTACTCTTATTTACTTTATTTCAATGAGAAGGTGGCTGTTTGTTTTGCATAACAATAATGAAACTGTGGAGTGTTCTTAGACAAGATAACATGCCTGTTATCTTTGACATCTATTTCGAATTTTCGTTTTGATAGAAACGAGCCGAAAACCCTGATTCACAAAGGTATGTGGTAGCAAAGAGAATCAGGGTGCTTGCAGCCCTCTATACCAGATGAGGGTAGGCTTGGGTCAATGCACACTAGAATTTTCCAAGTCACTTCAAGATTAATTCATTTTGTAATATTTCCTTTGTCCTCAGGTCAATGAGATCATCTTTGGCAAGATTTTTATCACTGGCACTATTTCGGCTTGGAAAGGATTAAGTATCCATTTTTCAGCTTTAAGGTCACCCAAGCCACAGTAACATTTGAAAGATTTCTGCAGAGTATCCAAATGTCTGCAGAATTCTGCTTGCAGAGAAGCTGACAGTATTGTTGCTTTCACTTCCATCCTGCACTTCTAATATTGAAAAGTTTGCATAGCTATCTGCCCCGCAACCTCCTCTTACACACAAGCAGTTTCAGCAGCATCCATAATGGTAATTTCATCACCTTGAAGATTTACTGCATTCATTTGGTGTTATGGTCAGGTTCCTTGTACCACGGTGATAGTCCAAGGTAGAACCAATAAAGAAGAACTCTAACACAGATATGGAATAATACAGATATATTACAAACAGGAATATATACAGAGAAGTAGAAAGTGTTAGTACGAACAATCAGGTTTAGTAGTAATTGTCTGAATGCGACTCTGTTTCGGATTGCCTCTGACTCTACTGACTCGCTCGCTCTGACTGACTGACAGACTCTTGACGGACTTCACTCCAGACTTCAGACTGAACCCTCTGTTTCCTCTTGAGGTGCAGTATTTATTACGTATGGAATAGTCCATTATGTTATTATGGGTAAGGTCCCATAACATTTGGCTAAAGATGTCTGCCAAGTAGGCTAAGCAACCAATAAACTCCTTACTATCAAATTGTTCTGAGTGGACTTTCCCCTCAAAAAAAAAAAAAGAAAAAAAGTGAAACTTCTATTCTCTTTGACCAGTCTCTTCAATATTTGTCTTGTGGAGAACCAGTGAACCTGTGTGTGATTATGAAGTTTATATTCTGCGGTCATTTCTTGACAAAACCTTTTCAAAATGTGATGGTTCAAAGCTCTTGCTCTGATGAAATTAACAATTTTCATGCTAGTAGACAAGACTTACTTCAGAACAGCTGGCAGTGTCTTTGATGCCAATGCAGGAAACAATGGGTAACAAAAACCTGAGGAGTTTCTTACTTCACCAAAGCAGCAAAGCCAGATATGTTGCCAAGCATTGCAGGTGCTTCGTCTGTAGCCAGAAAACCAATATTTTTCTTTGCAAAAGAATCTATCCACAATTTTTAAAATGTTGATGACCTTTGTATTTTCCAAAAGGGGATCACAAAGCAGAAATTCTTTGATGGTAACAGCATGCACACAACAAATGAAAAATAATAGCTGGCTACACTGAGGAATGTCAGCAGTTTCATCCAGTTGCATGTTGAATAAAAAAAGGTGTAGCTGCCAATTCTTCCATTACTCTAATATTAGAAGACATGTCAACAATTCTGGAGTGGATGACAAAGGCACTATTTCAACTTTTTTTTTTTTTCTCTGCTTCAAGCTGCAAACCAACTCAACCATTTCTAGGGCATATTATCAAGGTCTTTCCAATCATGTGCAGCTGGGCAATGCGATAAGCAACCTTGTAGGATGCTTCGAGGCAAGACCTTTTTGTGTTGGGGCAAATCCAAGTTTTGGTAAAATTCCAGCTTCCTCAAATCGCACCACCTACTCATGAAATATATCAACACTATCTGAAGTATTTACAGGATGGACAGACTTGAGGTGCTCTTTTAGCTTTGCTGATTTTATGGTTGCATTGACAAGAACCTTACTACACTGAAACCATGCAGATTTTGTGTCCCATCTCATTCAGCAATGAAAGTAAAACTCAAGGATGAGCAATCTTCATTGTATTTCCTTTTCTTTAACATTTCCAGATTGAACTAGCCCTTCATAGAAAGGTAGACAAGCAGAATGTCGCAGTCTGATTGCCTTTTTACAACTTATACCTGCATTTCTCTATACTACACCCTCATGCACACACATCACTTTTCAGCCAGCCACACTTTAAAGAAATTATGATCGATTAATCCTCACCAATATATGAGAAGATAATCAAGCCGTGATAAAACATGGAAAAAAAAATAACTGCCTGCTCTTATAGAGTAGAAAAAGATGGCAGTCGTGCAGAGAATGATGACGCATGTTTAAATGGTAAACCTGAATCCCACAAGTCAAGCAACACCCAGCGGTCAGTATTGTAAGTAGTGTCTGGATGTGTTTTCTTTCAAGCAGTGGTAGGGTTCATTTTCTTTTATTTCTTTCAATGGGAAGCTTTTGATTGGGACAAGGGCTGCATCATGAATATCACTGTTAATTTTTATCTAATCCTCATGGACCCTACGTTAAGAAGCACTCCTCTACAAATAACATGAGGCTGGTGGTAATGTGTTACATAGTATTAGTAACAGGGAAGGACCCTTGACATGACTACACATTTCATCTTTCATGTTATGTCAGTGACAAAAGTTCAATGTCTAGAAGTGAAATGTATTGCAGGAAGAGGTGGATTCATGACTTTCCTTCATGATGACCATACGAAATGAACACAGGATTCTTCGGTGTGAATTTTGACTTTACTTGCTGATAACTCTCACTTGCTTGGACATAAAAGTAATTAAAAGATCAAGGCTTCAGAGGCAGGCTTTTGATCTTGGTTTGGAATTAATATGAATATTCTTGTATATAGATCAGTTAATGTTCACAATCATTTCTTTTTGTGTGTGTGTGTGTGTGTGTGTGTGTGTGTGTGTTAATGTTTTATAATAGCAAAGCCAAGATGTGAATATATTTGAATATTTAGCACTTTCATATATAATATTATTGAATTTAT